TATAATTGGGATTATAGAGGATCAAAAACAGACTGTGAGGCAAAAAGATGAGACAGTTGGGGGAAAATTGGAGCACAGCAAAAAGGAGGAATGGCTGCAGTGTGTGCATGATCTGTGTGATAATCAGTGCACTGTAGTTATTGCTTTTGTCATGTATCAAGCTCAAGGCTGTACTCAGTACAGTCACGCTGCTGTTTCCAGCATTGTGTTCCAGAAATGAACTCGAGGAAAAAAGTTACTGGGATAGTGATGAGAACTTTTGGGGACTAAAAGGGAGCTGAATAACGGGTTGTGTGAGGTAGATAGGTTTGAGGAGTGGATTACAGACTGCCCTTAATGAATGAACAAAAGGTGAAACTGAGTTTTTTGTAACTCACTAGCATCGGGAAGAGGAGTTTGAATTGGAGCAGTGGAGGACAGATGTTAAGGGCGTTCTGCTAGAAAGAGTGAGGGTGAGGCAGGGCTAGTTCTTGGTAGGTAAAGCCCACGCCAGACAATCTCTCTGAGCGCTGAGGGTAGGCATGACCCCCTGTTGGAGCTGTGCTGGGACGCGCTGGCGTTTTGCTCTCTCAGCGCTCGCGGATAAGTCCGCTGCTTTGGCATCTCTTTCGGCTTCGGGATCAATAACTCTTGGGGCGCTGCCTCCGAGGAGCACTGGGTACCCACCGGGCAAGGGTGAGGCGGTGCTGGGGAGCTGCGGCTGAGGGGCAGGGCTGAGGGGAAGGGCTGGGGGCTGAGGGGAAGGGCTGGGGGCTGAGGGGCAGGGCTGGGGGCTGAGGGGCAGGGCTTAGGGGAAGGGCTGGGGCTGAGGGGAAGGACTGGGGCCGAGGGGAAGGGCTGGGGCTGAGGGGAAGGACTGGAGCCGAGGGGCAGCGCTGGGGCCGAGCCCCGGCCCGGCCGCTCGATCGCCCGGCCGCTGCCCGCGACACGAGGGAGCCCGCGCCCGGGGGCGCCAGGGCCGCGCGCCGCCGCCGGCCACTCAGGAGGCGGTATTCAAATCGCTGCCCGGCGGCAGCCAATCAGAGGGGAGGGGGCGTGGCCCCGCGCCCCGCGGTTCCCACGGCGAGCCTCATTGAGGGGGAGCTCGGCGGGCGGCGAGGCGCTGGGAGCCGTAGGGAAACTGAGGTACCGGGGATACCGGGAGGCACTGGGAGCGCTGAGCACGGCGGCTGCATGCATGCCGGAGGCCCCGGGCATCACAGCATTATCCTGGCAGTAGGCCCCAAGGGATGCGGGGAGTAATGATTTGCCCATCAGGCACTGGGGTACCAGGGATTTCACCCACGGGTGGCAGTGCATGGGCAGTGGTGGGCAGCGATGTGGCGTGTTTTGTGCTGCATCCCTGGCAGGGGAGTGCTTAGGCTCCTGTCAAGCATTTTGTGTGAACAAGTCAAGCAAATATGCCCCAGTGTGAGGAAGGATGCTGCAAGTCCGGCACCAAGTGCAACTTGCTGTACTGAAAATTGGTGCACTGACAAACAAAAATTATAGCTTTGTTCTGGCATTGATGTTTGGCCTTGGTTGTTTTGGGGAGCAGCCATAGCCTTGATCAGCTGCTCTGACTCAAATGTCCATGTTTAGAGCACCAGTGGCATGTTCACATCTCAGATGCTGGTCTGATTTCCTGTCCTTCTATTGGTGCCTCGTCCGGGTAAATTAGGCAGAACCGTCCCAGCTTAGATCATATTCTCAAATCCAAGGACTCACTCTCAAACCCTGCAGGACAGAGGAATTGATGGTGGGCAGGATGCTTGCAAGAAAACAGAACAGAAATGGGGATCCCAGCTGTCATGCTAGCAGTGCTTGTTAACCTTCACAGTTTTAAAGTCCGCTGTCCTACAGGTCTCAAAATTTTAGCAGGATTAACAAGAGTCTCAGTGGGTTTCCAAATTTCCTAAGCTTCTTATAGCCATCCCTTTATGACCAACATAATGAAGAAAAAAGGTTTTGTTTTCGTGCCTTTTAAGAGAGAAAAAACATTTCCATCAAACAAAGTAGCAGGACATGTGCATCATTCCCTCTGTTCACAAGGACTCCGAAACAGAGGAGTGTCAGCAGTCATTTCAGAGTGTAGTGTGCCTTCTAAAAGAGCTGTCGCTAGAGCACTTTCTTTTATTACCTGTATTTATATGGATCACCTTGTACCTGGGTTCCCTTTGATTCCAGTATTGACAGCTGGGAGCAGCAAACTTCAGTCTGGAAATAACATTCCTGCTTTCACAGCTTCTTCTGCTGCTGTTCCTTCTTCCTTTTTCTCCTGGCTGGCCCCTGCCAGTAGCCCATCAGCCAAAGATCTTCGTCCCTGCTATGCACAATGTCTGGTTCAGTGGATGACGTGCCTTGCATGAACTTTGAAGCCAACATATTTGCAAAGAGCCTGTGCCAGCACTGTTTCCGAGCCGCAGGGGCTCACCAGCATGCTGTCCAGGTGAGCTCCTCCATCCCACCTGCAGGCTATGGATACTTCATTAAGGGTCTCTTTGTTCTATACTGGATCCACCTGCCTTTTTAGAGACAGAAATCCCTAAGACAAAGGCTCAGCCAGGATTTCTAGATTTCTTGGTGGGGAAAACCTCTATGGGCATTCCTTTCCAGGCATAGGAATGCTTAATTTAACTGTTCCAGATCACAGCTGGGAACCAAGCTGAGCAGAGAAGTGCTGGACACTGGATACAAGGGGCTTGATAGCCTTTCCCTGGAAGGGAAAGCAGGAGTGTCACAGATGCAAAGCTACAAGGAGGGAATTGGAAACTGGCAGAGCAGGGACCCGCCCTGTATTAATCTCTGCTTGATGCTTGCTGGCATTTACAGCTTTGCCTCACCTTAAATAGGGTCCTGGTCGATTCCCTATGGCCTCAGCTGTTGGCTTGGGGCCAGGGCTCAGTTCTCTCCCTGAGGCAGCTTCAGCAAGATGTTCCCAGAGGAGAAGGCAGGAGAGGGGTAAATCTCATGGTGTTTTGGGCTCCAGATACCTTGATCCAACATGATCCTTTGGGAAAGGACTGGACACAAAAGCTACTTGGCTGTCTCCAACTGGGCGACAGCTGGTTTCATGTTCACAGAGGGTTTCGTGTTGTTTGACGTCCTACAGGAGCGGCTGGCCAGGCATGATGAAATAGTAATGAGCTTCCCTCTCTCTTTCTCACCCTTTCCCCCTCTCCTCCTGGCCTTGGGTCCTCTAAGGTTACCTTAGCCCTTCACCCTCGATCTGCTCAGAGCTGTCAGCTCTGAGTGAATCCTGGTGCAGGCAAGATGCTGGAGGGAAGGCGGCACAGCCAGCCGGCTCCCCGGAGCCTCCCCCACTGCTGCTCATAAGCCCTGCAGGTAATGGGGGCCAGGGAGGATGCTGAGATGCCTGCAAGCCCTGACAGAGAGAGGCAGAGGCTGGGACTACAGCCTTTTCTGCAAAAATCTTTCTTCCACTTGGCTCCACTGCCTCTCCCTGAGCTATCCTGCTGGAGAGGCGCTATCCTGAGGGAGAGTGGCTACAGGCATCATCCGTGCCAACATCGGGGGGCAGTTTCCCTGAACCCTCATCCACACATGCCGTCTCTGGGATGTCTGCAGCATTCAGCATCACATAGGAGTGTGCTGGGTCTTCCTGGCCTCTTGATGTAGGAGAAAAATCTCAACGGTGGGCTGGGAGAGATATCAAGAGCCCTGGAGGCCAGGCTGCTCTCGGAGGAGGAAAAAGGAGCAGGCATTTCCAAGAGGCAGCCTTCATCCTCATCCTTGGCACGCTGACAGCACCATTGTACCCCTTCTTCCTCGCAGGATCACGCCACGGAGGTCACAGGGCGCGATGCCTGCAGCGGCGCAGCCCCAGGGGAGCCCTGGGACTCCCTCCATATTTTAGCCCCGCAGTGCGAGGTGTACGTGTGTGTGGGCCCAGCGGAGGGCACGGAGCGGTGAGTACCAGCCGGGAGCCCTGCTGCTCCAACAAGCCCCTTCGGTGGGAAGAACGGAGGAGGGGGAGCGGGAAGCCAAGCAGGGGGAAATCAGCTGCCTTTTCCCAGATGCTCTGCACACTGGTGCCTGGGAAAAAGGAGTGAGAAACCCCCATGCGATGCACTCTAACCATTCCTCTGGGCTGACCCTGGAGAGGTCAGGGGGCTCCTGAAAGAGTGTCCTTCATCCTCATTCCCTCCAGAGCAAGGCAGGTGGTCTCAGGATGGGCTCTGCCAGCCTCTGCCCATCCAGTAGAGAGTGAGTCAGTGTGGCTTGGGCTGCCAGTGCTGTCACTTGCCCCTGAGCTCTGCGGGCTGTGCTGACCACCAGCTGTCCTCTCTCCCTGCCCCACAGCTGGCACGAGAGCAGGCGATATCCCCCACTCAGCCCCGGAGCTGAGGGTGAGCACAGAGAAACTGGCACCGACCCCAGCGCCTGTGCTGAAGCCAACTCCACGCTTGCCAGGGTGAGATGGGGATCTCTTGTGGTTTGGGTTATTTTGGTATCCCCAGCTCCCTTGGCCCTTCAATGCCACTTTTGCTGGGCCCATTCAGAAGGTTTCTGGATACACAAACATGTTGAATTTGTCCCTCTGTCTCTCCTGCCTTGGCCAGATGGAGGAAAGAGCCCATCATGTGCAGGGAGGTGGATTTGATTATTTTTATGGGTCCCTTAAAACTTGAGATATTCTATAATTCTAAGGTCCTCAGATGCAAGGAGGGGATCAGCTGAGACTCTTAGTCCCCACAAAGGAGGCTCTCCCCCTCAAGAGCTCATGAGATTTGCTCTTGGATACTCCCATGTGGACTTTTCTATGTTGTTTCTTGCCATCGTTGGTCTGGCATCATCTTACACTCACACAGCTCCTCTTCTGGTTCCTTTTTACCTGCAGTTTTGAGCTGAACAGGCTGTAAGTTCTCATATATACTCTTACCTCCTTCCAGCCTACAGAAGCTACTAGTCCCCATTGCAGAGATCTGCCCTATCTTGTCACCCAGGAAGGGGAAATGACCCGTTTCTGGGACAACACTTTGGGATCAGGCAAACGGGACATGATGAGCTACTTGGGCCATAAGGAGGAGGTGCGGTCACGAGCCCCACAGGCAGACAGACCCAGGTGGGCTCAGCCTGTTCCCTCTGGATCCTGGGTGAGAACTGAAGCCCAGGGCTTTAGGAAAGAAATCTGTCCACTGAAAGCAGGTACTCTTGGTTTGCTCCTGTGTGAGATCCTGGTTCTGGTGTGCTTTCCACCCAGGGGTCTCTGAGGTTCAAGGCAGATCTCTGTTTAGATTTAGCATCTCTTTATCTAATTCTGGTCCCAGGAAGTGTTCAACACATCCGCGGGCACTATGTGAGAATCCATCTGTGTGTGTGCTGGCTGCAAACCGGGGGCGTCTTTGGTGCTCTCTATCTGCATGGTTTGGCATGCCCTCGGCTCGAAGTGCTGTGTTCCAGTGCTCCCACCCTGCCTCGAGGGAGTCTGGGTTTTATCTCTGCCCTCCTGGACCATTTCTAGCTCTCCTCCGAAGACCTGCTTTGCCGTGGACGTGGTGGCATCCCGCGTCGCTCGCGCCTCCCCCAGTAACGGCCTTCTCCCCGTCCCAGAGCGCCGCCCTGCCAGCCAGAAGCCTGAGGAGAGCTGGCCAAAGCACCGAAAAACTGACCCTCCCTGGGCATCCACCCTGCCACGCAGCCCAGCTGGCTCCCCGCCGGCCCGCAGCGACCTGCTGGGTGGCAGTGGGCGCCTCTCTGGCCCACGGGTCCGGGAGTCCCACGGGCACTCCAGCAGTGGGGGTGCAGAGGCACGGCACGGGCTGGAGAGGCAGGAGTACACGGTGCTGGCAGACCTGCCCAAGCCCAAGCGCCTCGGCCAGCGGGATGCTGCTGACCGCTATGGCTCCCGGACACTCAGCCCTGGCCGAGTGGAGGTGGAGAGGATGTTTGGATGTGAACGCAGGTGAGAAGTAATGGGACCCCACAGTGGTCAGAGGCAGGGGATTGCCCTTCCACGCTCTTGGGGGCCCCCACCTCTGAACGGCTGTGCTTCAGGAGGAAGGCAAGGCTAGATGGCAGAGCTCAGCTTTCAGCTGTGCTTAAGTTTCCCTCAAAGCAAGGGTTGGGTATAGGCTCAGAGCTTCCTCCATTGTGGCATATGGGCAGCTGAGGCTGTTGGAAAGGTTGTGGAAGGGAGCATCCTACCTTCCTCATCCTCACAGCCACCTGGAAGCTGCAGGACCTGCTACAAAGCAAGGCTCCCCACAGTAAAAGGGCCAGGAAAGAGGTGTTCCCCAATCCTAGCATAAATATCTCCCCAGGAATTTCATATTCACTGTAGGAGCCACTCGGGAAATTATTGGGGATGCCAAGAAGTAGCCAGTAGCTGTTTAGGCTTCAGCTGGAGGAGCAAGATTGGCTCCAGTAGTGGTGGCACAGGGCAGGAGGGGACATAAGGAGGGACTGGGAAAGTGGGTGGGATGTAAAGATGAAGGGAAGCTTGAGGAGTAGTGTGAAGAAGACATGGGTGAGGCAGCAGGATATGAAAGCTGAGGTGGTTGGTGGGGACAGGGAGATGCTACGGCGCACACAGTATCTGGGGCAGGTGGAGGTCTGTGGGGTCAGGATAAGGTGGAGCAGGGTTTGCAGGGGCTCTGCTTCCTAGCTGAGCAGGGTGGCAGCTGGACCAACTGTGTGTGCCCACAGGAAATCAGAGACACTGGAGGCCTTCCAGGCTCTGGAGGAAGGCCGTGTGGACCGACTCGATGGCAAGACGCCGGTGCCTCCCAGCAAAGGCCACCTAACTCGGAGGCGGTCCAGCCCGAACCTGCCCAGGGAGGTGAGGCTTGGCTGCACAGCAGGACCTCATCCCAGCTCTGCAAGCTGAGCTGCTTTTTCCTGTCATATTTTTCTCTTCTTCTGCCACATGCTTCTCTCTTTCATTCCCCTTCTCCCTCTTCCCTTTAATCCTAGCTCTTCCTCTGTCATGGACTGGGACCCTTGGCTCTTAAAATGCAGCAGCCCTTTCACCCTTTGGGTGCAAGAGGCTTCTCTACAGTATGGACTGGCTCTATGCACAGGAATGCAACTTCTCTCTGGGGAGCCATTTAACCAAATCACCTGCTTGCCCTAATCCCATCTCGTTCTGCTCATTGGCACTTTTTTAAGAGGATCCCTGCTTTCTCTCCCCTGTGACCCAGGGTCAGCGACTCTCCTGGCAGCTGGAGCAGCGCAGCAGAGACCCCAAAGAGCGCCGGCGTTCCCCCAGCCCAGCTCAGCACCCCGAGAAGGCCAGCAGGACCCGGGGGGACTCCCCATGCCCTGCTAGCCCTGGCTGGCTGCTGGAGAGGGGGAGCCAGAGCCCACGCTCCACAAGCCCAGCCCGCAGGTTGGAGAGGAGAGCAGGGGAGCCCGTCACCCCTCCCTGTCGCACTGAGAAAAGCTGGAGAAGCCGAGGGGAGCCTGCCCGCCCCCCAAACTCAGACAGGGGCCGAGCCACCTGGCAAGCAGGGGGTATACAGCAGATGCTGGAGAAGAGGAGCCGAGGGGATTCCCTGCACCCCACAGGTGCTGGGAAGGGCACAGATATCGTCAGGCTGAGCCGAGCAGGGCCGCCACCACGGGCCCTCAGTCCTGGGAGACGTACAGAGAGCACAAGGAAAAGCCAAAAGGAGATCTCCCCTCCCAGCTTGGTGCGGGGGGCAGACAGGCAACGAGTGAAGCCAGGGGAGCCACTGCACCTTGCAGGGCCCAGGAAGCCATCCGAATGTAGCTGGCAGAGCCTCCGGGAAAAGCTGACATCCTCCCAGCCTGCAAAGGGCACCTGCAGTGACTGGAAAGGCCGAGGCAAGCCTCTGCGCCCCACAAGCCCGACGCGACCACTGGAGCAGGACTGGAGGGGCCGGGGGGATGCCCACCAAGCACAGGTGTGGGAGAAGGACTGGAAGCGCCAAGAGATGCCCGTGTGCCATACAGATGTGATGCGCCAGCTGGAAAGGGACTGGAAAAACCCTGCTAGATGTCTGGATGTGGGATTACGGTCGGATGACAGCTGGAAAAGACCTGAGAGTCCAGCACAGCACCTGGATGAGGACTGGAAGGGTCCTGAGCACACACGAGATACACACAGCCCTGAGAAGCCATTGGAAACTGACTGGGGGAACAAGAGTCTTCTCATTTACCATGTGAGTAGGGCAGGAGCCAGAGGTGATGGGGACCCTGCAAGGCCTAAAACTGGCAAGCACAGGCTGGGTGGGTCCACTGGGTTGCAATTCTGTGCACCCTGATTGCCTTGGATCCTCTGCTTCTCCAGGGAAATTGTACTGCCCGCCTGGCACTGGGAGGAGGGAAGATGCTCTCTTCCCTAGCTCACGCCAGGAGATGGATGCTCAGATCTGGGAAACTGAGGTGAGGACTAAGCCCCAATGGCTTCAGCTCCTGCTTTCTCCCCTGCAGCCCCAGCTGGGTGGAAGCACCTTCCCACCACAAAGCAGCACTGGCTCCTCAGGAAGCCCGCAGCCACATTTGAATGCCAGTAAGAAGCGGAACAAGGTAGGGGCCAGGCCCTGGGAATTGTGAAGGAGGGGCAGCTGCCCTTCTCTGGTAGTCACTGAGGGCAGGACCTAGGTCTCCAGCACTTGACCTGAGCAGGTCCAGCATGGTGCTGCCTCCCCATGATGTCCTGGATGCTGTGCTCATGAGCACTCCTCTTCTCTTTGTCCTTCACCCATTTCTCAGGTGGGGAAACTGAGGCACAGAGCCCTTTTATAAAACCAGAGAAGGGTAAACAGTAGACCTGGGACTAAAATCTCAGTACAGTTACTTTCCTTTGCTTTATTATTGGCCAGTGCTGTGATGGCACCGAGGGTTTTACAGGGACGAAGCGGACTTTAGTGGTGTGAAAGAAGATACAGTGTATTGTGTTGGCATTCCTGCAAAATGGCATTACAGCAGCTATGGGGGGCTGCAGAAAGTATTCCAGGAGCCCATGTTGCTGGCAGCTGCATACAAGTTCCTGCCTCTGCCCCCCTCTGTGCACATCAGTCATCTCAGCCAGGTCATCCTCTGCTAGGACCTGCCTTTGTTCTTTACACAAGGACAAACTGCAGCCAGGAAAGAGGCTGTCAAAGGCCTCTGAAACTCGAAACGGGTGACATCCTTTCCCTCACTTCCCTGTATCAGACCAGAGAGGAGCCCAAAGCCCTGAACTCACCCTGTACAACTGGGCCAGATCGCCTCACCTGTGCCAGGTTTCTTCAGCACTGAGCTCTGGCACCTTCCCTTTGCCTTGCAGCAAGAAGCATCATCTTGGTGTGATTGCACAGTACAGCCTGGCATTTTGTGATGCACAGCCCCTCTCCCCTTTTCCTTTGGGACTCTCTTTAGCAATTCCCTTTCCTGAGGCCTGCTGGCATGGCTTTCCAGGGGTACTGGGAGCCTCGCCATGACCTCCTACCATCCCTGCCATGAACCCAGAGAGGTTTAGTTGGTTGGATAAAACCAAGCAGCCCCAGGATCCAAGGCGAGGACCCCATTGTGTGCACTGCTGAAAATCCTTGCCTTCGAAAAATCCCAGCCTGAGAGCAAACCCTGCCTGAGTAAGGGCTGGGCTCCTGGCAGTCCCTTCCCGGGGCAGCAGCGGCTGAACCCGTCCCTCCCAGGGCTTCACCTTTCCCGGGCCAGCGGGCCAGGAAAGGGACACGGCTCGGCCCCAGCATCGCCCCCGTCCCGTCCCGTCCCGTCCCCAACGCCCCGGGGCCACCGCCCCTTTCCGTGCGGACCGGCGGCCTCGCCCGCCCCGGCGGCTCCATTGGCTGCGGGCGGTCGGGGCGGCGGCTGCGGCTGCCATTGGCCTGCCCGGGTCCTCCCAGGAAGTTCTGGGGGGAGGAAAGAAAAGTTTTTTGAGGTGGTTTTCTTTTTTCCCCCCTCCTTTCCTTTCCTTTTCCTTTCCTTTTTTTTTTTCTTTCCTTAAAAAAAAAGAAAAGCAAGAGGCGCGCGGGGACGCGGGGCGGGCGGCGGAGCGGGCATGGTGGGGCCGTGGAAGCCGCCCGGGCGCTGAAGCCGCCCCGCCGCCCTGGCTGCCAGCGCCCGGCCCCGCCGCGACCCCGGCCCCGCCGGCCGCGGCGCCCCCGCCATGACGGTGAGTCGGGACCTGGGCTTCGGGGCTCGGTGGGCCGTGGTCGCGGGGACTCCTCCTTCGGAGCCCGGGGGACGGTCCGGGGCTGGGAGGGGGCGGGGGACCCCAGCTGTCAGCCGCCGCCTCCGGGGGTCCCTGCGCTCCGGGGATCTCTGGAGCCGCAGCTCCCTGGCGGACTCTGGCCCCGGGATTCCAGGCTGTGGCGGCTCTTCCTTGGTTCCCTTCCCCATCACCCCCCAGAGCTCCTCGTGGCACCACCCCACCCCGATAAGCGTGAGCGTGAATCGGGCTGAGGTCAGGCCAGCTCACCGCACCTATGACCGCAGTCGGATGCCAAGTTGGTGTCCCCCCGGGCGTGGGGAGCTCCGGCTCCCTGTGGGAAGCAGATGCGGTTTGGGGCAGGGAGCATCCCACCCCTGGGGCGAACTTTGCTTGGCACAGGCGGCTGCCGGCCGCGAGCGGGGTGGTGGAGGTGACAGGCTGGGCTGTGCCCGCCGGCATTTCGCACGGGGGCGGTGGGAAGGGGAGAGCCCGTCCGCTGGCTCGTCTCATTGCACGTGTAGATTCGGGAGCTGCATGTGTGCTCCAGGCTGCGAGTGATTTTGCTTTCACCCAGCTAAGCTGGAGCGGTTTTGCTTTGTGTTTTGGCCTGGGGCCCACGCCTTATGAAGTGGGTTCCCCTTTTAGAGGAGAGGAGACATTGTGCTTTCCGGGAGGCTTGAGAGCCCCTTGCACCATCTCCCGGAGGTGGGAGGAAGCAGTGCCTCAGAACCTGCATTGCTGAGGAGCTTTTGGGGAGCAGGAGGCAGGGTGATGACAAAGGCTGGTGATGAAAGCACACACCTGACTATCCTGCTCGGACACTGAGCTTTCTCAGCCTTCTGCAGCCTCTTCTCCTCCTCTTCTCCATCCTGGCGCCTCAGTACCACCCAGGAGCAATTCCTTTGCTCCCACCCTGTCCCTTTTCCTTCTTTGGTGTTTACATTCTTCGGATACTTACAGACTGTTATCACCTTCCCTGTAGCCTTTCTTCAACCAGAGCAGCCAGCTGCCTCTCCTTAACCTGCTGTTGCAAGGAAGTCTTTCCAGAAATCACCTACATCCCCAGCTACTGGAGACTCCCTCCAGTGCCTTTACCTGGCCAGCTGTGGGGCTGAACATAAAACTGATGGGTATGGATGCAGCTGGGTAAAATCACTGCCACCACCCCCCAAGCCATCCGCAGCCCCGAGCTGCAGGGCCGTGCATTTGCCGGGGGTGCATCCTGTCGCATCATTGCACCTCTGGCACCCGGATCTCTCCCAGCAGCTCGGCTTTCCTGGATGTTTCCTCCTCCCACTGCTGGGCTGTTTCCTCTGGATGAGGGATTCTATTTGAGCCCCATGCTCTTCTCTGAGCATTTTATACTGGATCAGGGAACTGGATTTGGTTGTGGGGAAGGGAAAAAAAGTGGCTTTAAGCACTTTGTGTATCAACTGAGGCCTCTACTATGGTACTGACCCCGCTATGACGAGAATAGTTCCAAGACAATTCTGCAGAGCTGCAGCTTCATGTCTAAGGCTGGCAGGGAAAGCAGAAACCCTGTGCAGTTTGCCTGCTTGGGAAAAGCCCTCCAGGGGGATTTTCTGGCTCCAGCACTACTTTGGGGGCAGCAGTTTTGGCAGGACTCGGTGGCAGTTTTTTCAGCAGCATGCATCTTGTTAGTATTAATTATTTTGGCACCTAATGCTTTGGGGTTGTAAATCCTCAATGAGATGAGACCCAGCTGATCTGTACAACAGCCCCACTCTCTCCCTACATTGTTTTTCTGCCTCCATGGAGCCTGCCCATCTCTCTCTCTTCTGTTGAGTGCACGTGCGTCCCAGGAGGGGGGTGGTTATACTTTGATGTTTTGTCTCCTTTCCTTCCCTCTCACCACTCTGAATTCAGAGCTGGAACTTAAGTCACCAGACTGGAAGGAATAACGGGAAAAAGGGTGGAGCTGCTAAAACAGAGAAAGAATTAATTTTTGGGGTGCTTTCTCAGGGCAGCAGTGGAGCCACCACAAATCTGGGTTGATGGGAGTGCATAAATCCCCCTTGTCTCCTAGCTGCCAGCACCAGCTGCCTGTCACCTCATCAGGAGGTGAGGTTTGGGAGCCCCCCATGTCCTTTTGCTCTGGTTTCCCTCCCTTCCCAGGGAGCTCAGGACTGCCGGATGCTTCTGGCCAGGCCTGAAGTTGTAGCAGGCGGTGACCTCCCCTTGGCAGGACTCCTTGCTCCTGCTGGAGCCAATAGCCAGAGCGCCAGGGTGGGCCGGCACATACTCTGCTCTTGCCGCCCCATAACCCTGGGTGTAACCCACGAGCAGCAGCTCAGAGAGATGAAAGCAGGGAAAGGCTTGGCCTGGCTATACAGCCAGGGAGCTGGGTTTGTGGGGCAGCTGTGGCTGGCCACTGGGCTTGTTCGGGGGATGTGGAGTGGCCATCGGCTGCTGAGATGCCTCCTTTTCTCCAGCTCTGTTTCAGCTGGTAGTTGTAACATGTGGGGACTGCTGGTGGCTTCCGCAGGACTGGCAGGTCTGGTGCTGGACCTCTGGGAGGTCCAGCTTTGGTACTGTCTCTTCTCCCTGCCTGGTTCAGCTGCCTGAGAAGGAGCGGGTTGGCAAACTGACTTCCATGGGAGGAGAGGCCTTGGACTGAATTCTTTGATGGTGCAACTTCCTGGGAGCCGGCAGGAGTGGGAGGATGGACCAGCTGGAGCCTGTTTGGCTGAGGGCAAAGCTAGGGAGAGAGGTTCCCCTGAGTCAGCTCTCTGGTGCTCCACCTTGGGAAGAAGATAAACTGGTTGGGATGCTGCAGCAGTGACATGAAGTTAGGAGGAGGCAAAGAGTGCATGGAAACTTCTTTGTGGCACAGGGTAATCTGGGTGAAATTCTCTTCATCCTTATCTTCTGTTGTTGTGGCTGAGCAGAGGGCAGACTCTGCCGTGGGGGGGAGCAGACAGAGCTGGGTAAGAGAAAAATTCAGAATCTCAGGGAGGTTGAACGGAGGGAGAGGGGAGAGGATCAAGCACTGACTTCATCTCTACCCTGGGGCACATCGTTTAAAGTCAACGTGTTTTCACAGCTGTTGAATTGCCTCCTGTAGGTTTTTGGTGAGAGTTGAGCTACTATGTTTTTAATAAATTATTAGTGGTGAAGTTACCAGAGGGACATAACTCTGGGGCATGGACAGCCAGGGTTGGGACAAGGCGTGTCTGGTTCATTGTAGCTTTGTCTCCATCTCTGAGGCAAGCTCCATTGGTGGTGGTGGAGCACTCCCTTCTGCCCACTCTCCTTGTCCCTGCCTCCCTCTCTCTGAATAAATACCTCTGAGGCACCTTGTGGAAACTTCTTTGTTGCATATTTTCCTTTACTTTTTTAAAACCTCTTCCCTTATCTTCTGCTTCCTCTTACAGAAATTACTACTGCTGAGAGCTATGCCCAGGTTTTTTTTTGCCATAGGGTTGCATAGCCCCATGAGTTTCCTAAAAGGCTATTCCCATTTTTGTTCTGCCATAGGGGACTCACCTTCCACCCCCTGGCATGGAAAACCCTTTTGTGGGTCACTCCAAGACAGTAATTCTCTGTTTTGTTTTTCAGCCGGATCTTCTCAATTTCAAGAAGGGATGGATGTCCATCCTGGACGAGCCCGGAGAGGTAAGCCTTAGATGAGTCTGCCTCTTCCCCTATCCCCTGCTGCTGGAGAGCCCCAGTGAGCCCACTGATTTCCTTCCTCCTTGCCTGCTGAGGTCTCTCCTTCTGGGAAACACAGTGGGAAACTCTCGGTGGAGGTGCCTCGCTTGGTGTGTGGACACAGAGGTTCATCGAGTGCCTCTCTCCCAGCTGAGGGTCACAAGGGGGATCTGGGAGGGAGGAGGGGAAGAGAAGACCGAGAGGTCATAGTGCAGAGCGTCCCTCCTTGTTCCTACACTTTCCCTGGTAACTGCCTGTCCATTTCCCTCCTGTCTTTTCCCTTCCCTCCCCCTGCCCGGTGCGCCTGCAGTGGAAGAAACATTGGTTCGTGCTGACCGACTCGAGCCTGAGGTATTACCGGGACTCGAACGCAGAGGAGGTAAGCATGGCCAGCCTTTCACCAGCCCTTTCTTCCTTCCAGGCTGGGGGGAAAGGAGCACAGCTCTGGCGTGACCAGGGACAAGCAACAGCACCATGTCCTCCTGAAGGATGGCTGAGGTGCCAAGCTGCTCTTTGCTAAGGGGTGATGAAGAGGATGAAAGCAGGGTGGCAAAGCCTGGAGGGACTGTCAGTTATGGGAGGTGGGGAGAAGGGCTGGTCCTGTGGCTGGGTATGTGGGATGCTCTCCATCCATGCTGCTGGCAGCCCTTCTGTTAGAAGAGACCATGCTGTGCTGGGGAACTGAGTCTGGTTCCCAAAGAGCTGAGCCTGGCTCCCAGGGAACTGTAGGATGAAGGCAGAGGTGGCCTTTTTCAAAGCTGGCTGCACACTGATGTCCTAGCGGGTGGCTGTGCTTGCAGGCTGATGACCTTGATGGAGAAATCGACCTCCGTTCCTGCACGGATGTGACAGAGTTTGCGGTGCAGCGCAACTACGGCTTCCAGATACACGTGAGTGTCCGGCACCACGCATACGGAGCGGCAGCACCAAGGGACACGGGGTGGGAGTGCGTGCTTCCTCCCTGTGCCGAGATGCTGAGAGGCAATTCATACAGACCTCGTGCCAGCATGGTGGCCCAAGGTTGTTTTTTTGACACATGGGTGACAGTGCTCTGGGACATCAGGGCTGGCTGCCTGCAAAGGAAGGAAGGAGGAGGAGGAGGCTTTGCAGGGCTGGCTGAAGGATGTACTGGAGGCAGTCCAGCAGCCAAGCTAAATGCCAGGAGTGTCTGAGTGACATGTTGGCCAAGGCAACTTTTCCACAACTGCGGGGGGAGTAGTGAGCACTGCAGATCTCAATGTAACTTGGCTGACCATGCTCGGAGTGACAACCTGTACCCTGGATCCAGCCCCAGTACAGTTCTGTCCTTGTCTATTTGTTGTAGCAGCAGGAGGTGACTGCTAAGGCAGCATGAGAAGTGATATTTCTGTGGGTGTGCAGGGATGGGCACTTCATGGTCTGGCTTTCCCTTTGCCCTGCTGCTGTACACCAGTGCTGGCACCTGACTCTTGGCACCTGAGCAACTGCTTTGCACCACTGCATGTTTGGCCTAGTGTGCCAGCAAGGTTTTTTTTGCCTTTGCTTGGAGATGGTCCCATGAAGGATCCTCCTCAAATACCCCTCTCACCTCTCCTCTCCCACCCCTCCACCTGTCCCCAAGAGCCTGAGACAGAGGGTGGCCTTTTTAACAGTCCAGCACTGGTGTATGTGAGTGGCTGTGGGTCTTGGGGAGCAAGAGGGAGCTGCTGCACATCCACTGGGTGCTGAGAGGGCCTCTGTCACCTCCCTGTTGCAGACAAAGGATGCTGTCTTCACCCTGTCAGCAATGACCTCTGGCATCCGGCGCAACTGGATCGAGGCCCTGAGGAAGAATGTGCGCCCAGTCAGTGCTCCAGACGTCACCAAGTAAGAGCTGCCCAGTGCTACTTGTCCTTTTCTCCCTTGCTGTCCCTCTACCCTGACTGGCAGGGGCAAGGAAGGCCCCTCTTGAAATCTCACCACTCTCAGAGCAGCCCTGCCGTCTACTCCTTCTGCAAGTGGTTTGGTTACAGCAGCCAGTGACAGGGGTTGAGAACCTGATGGCTCCCTTTCTTTTACCTGCTTTTTGCCTCACCACATAAGTTTAGACTGGTTTCTCCACCAGCATAGCTGGAGCCAGGGTGGATCCTTGCTGCCTGGTGGAGAAATCTATTTCTCTGAGGGATGGGATGCTACAGGCCCAGCTCTGCACTCAGTGTGGAGTTTTGTAAGGCTGGGCTGAGTGAGGGTCTGCGCCTAGAGCAGTTGGCTGTGCCTCTCCTGGCATTCTTTCCCACACAGTGCCTCTCTTTCACCAGTTCCTGCTCTGCTTTCAGACTCCCTGACTGTGACAAGGAGAACTTCCGTAACTGCGTTCCCCAGAAAGGCTCACTCCGGACGGAGGAGCAGCAGCGGCCAGGCTCAGGCTCCGAGGGGAACTCAAAGGGCAGTCACTGGAAGGCAGATGGGCAGCGCCATGCCTTTGACTATGTGGAGCTGTCTCCCTTGCCACAAGACCCTGGAAATCAGGGGTCCCTGCAGAGGACAAAAGGGAGCGTGAAGATCTCTGACCGAACTCCCAGGTATGAGGAGCTGGAGCGGGATCTGGCCATCCGTTCAGAGGAGAGGCGGAAATGGTTCGAGACCCCCGATGGCAGGGTCCCAAACAGCGATGGCCCAGCAGGAGACCCTTCCCGCAAGGCCGGGGAGCAGGACCTCCCCACTCCTCCGCTTTCGGAGGACCAAAGGATTCGTCTGAATGAGGAGATAGAGAAGAAGTGGCTGGAACTGGAGCACCTGCCCTTGAAGGACTTGAGGCGGGTGCCCTTGACAACACTGCTGAACCAGAGCAAGACAAGCCAGGGAGACACCAGTGAGGCGCTGAAAAAGGAGGTAGGAGCATCCCTCCTCTCTGAAATCTCTGGGATTCTGGTGGCCCCTTAATGTGGTACTTGGCTAAAGGAGGCTCTGCAGAAGAGCAAGGCAGAGGTGCAGGGGGATGCTCGTTCTTTCTGGCTCCTCAAGTGCATGGAAGCTTTTGGAACCTGGTAATGCAAGGCTAGAGGCCAGCTCTCACATACCTACAGAGGTTCCCCAGAGCATGTTTTGGTCCAGAATAATTTATTTAGTGACACTGCTTGTGTGGAATCTATGTTTCCTGGAAGTATATTTACAGTCTTTCTTTGCTGGCTATTCCCAAACCTGCAAGCACTTCACCTGCCAGCCTTTGAAAGGAACCATGCTGTGGTGGTTTCCTCCAGCATGGATCCACCTCTGAAAGCTGGGATGTCTCCTCCCTTCCTTACTGGCACTAACCAGGCTGGGGTTGGCTTTGCCTGTGTGGTCTCTTGGCAGGCTGCTGGGGAAGCAGAGGCCTCCATTGGCCGTGTGTTGTTCTCCCCATCCATAGGCCCAGTGTTTGGATGTGGCACATTGGTCAGGCCATGGCACTTTTCCACCCTCGGCTGAACATCCTTCTCTGTCCTCTCTGGCACAGATCGAGTCACTGCGGGCACAGCTGGAGTCCTGCCGGGCCAGAAACGAGAGCCTTCGGGAGGCAGCAAAATCCCAGGGGGACAGCCATGTGCCCCGAGGGTACATCTCACAGGTGAGTAGAGTGCCAGACCTGGGGCTTGGGGGTCACTCCCAGTACCAAACTGGGAAATTCTGGCTCAAAGCTTATTGCCAAGCAGGTATTGCTAATCATTGGGTTGCCATGGGGACCCTAACTGGGCCCATTTGTAATCAATGTTAATTACATAAAGGCTGGTGCATGTTGTCCGGCCTTAAAGGGGCCAGGGTTATAAAGGGAGAGAAGGATAATTTGGAGAGAGGTGCAGGATCTGTGTCTTGCTTTGCATATGGGCACAATGGTGTCCTGGGCCATGGGGGTGAGCCATTCCCCAGCTCAGGAGTGGGTCAGCAGCTTCCTGCAGAGCCTCTGGTCATTCCCTGGTGGTTTGGTGCTCACCACATGTGGGTTTTGCTAACTGGGGCTCCCACGTGTCTTGTTTAAAGCAGTCAGTCAGTCAGTCCCTGGGGACAGCCCGAGCCCTGAAGGTCACTTTGACAGCACAGCCCATTTGTTTGCTGGGACAGCACGTGGGAGAGCCAGCAAAGCAGAACTTACTCATGCTTCATCCTCTCACTTCTCTTTGTTTATTTATTTTCCCCTCTCGTGGACTGATCCAAAGCAAGCAGGGTCATATCCCGCAGGGATTTCCTGTGTGGAGGCTGCCGTTTGACCATAGAGTGGGATTTTCAGGATGGGCCTTATGTGTTGGAAGATACCGGGGCAGAGGGGGTTGGCAGGGCAGGAAATTGGGGCTGGTGAAATCTGTTCCACAGGGTTGGCTGTACCTAGCACAGATAAAGAAACCCACAAGCCTTGTAGTACCCAGCCCAGACACTTAGCAGTCTCTGTGTTATTGTGATTTAATATTTACAGCTTACAGGCCTCTTTATGGTAAAAAAAAAAAGCGTAAAAGCAGTGGGAAGGAACTTCCTTATCTTCCTTATAACTTGGCTCAAAAAGCCAGCATTTCACATCTGAGGCCAAACTTGGTCTTTCTCCAAAGGATTCACTCTCTCTGTCTGCCAAGGGTTGCAGCTGGTCCATGAATAGATCAACAAATTGATTCCTCACCTTTTCCACTGTGGTTCTGTGAAGCTTCCCAGCTTCCCTCATCACAGTAGAGAGAAGTAGCCAGGGAGGGTTTGCATTCACACATGTTCCAGTGTCTTTTGTGTGAGCTTTAGTGTTCAGTGGGGAAGGAATGGGATGGCAAGGAGCTGTTGGGGGATGTATCTTCACTCTCTGCTGATGTCCTTGAGGCCCAGGCTATTAATCATCATGGCATGGTTTGTTGGTGCACAAATCCTTCCTGAGAGGCTCAGGGAGGCGCTGCCAGCATCTAGAGGGGGAGTGAAGGTGTAGTGCCAAGATGGGACCCTCTTTGCTTTGCTCTAGCTCGAGTTAATCATAGTACTCAGCATAGAAAGAGCCATCCCCTTGGTCTCAGAGCCATCGGAAAGGAGGGAGGGCTGTGTGAGGAGGATCCCTAACCACTAGGCTGTGGGTAGGGCTCTTTGGCAGTCTCCATCATGCCACAGGGTAATACAGGGTGTCACTTTTCAGAAGAGGAGGCTCAGTTTTCATTGATTCCAGGGGATGCTGCTTCATTTAAAAGGCAGATACTAAGATGCAGTTCCCACTGTTGATCTCTTCCAGCCAGGCAATGCAGCCTGGTGTAGAGTTGGAACTGTGGTGTTGGGCATGTTATTCCCAGCCTTTGGACCAAGAGGGATGTTCCTGTCTTGCTGCTTTAGTTTTAAGAGCTAGAGGAACATTCTTCCTCTATAAAGCACAAAAGGGGGGTTGCAAGATGTGTGTCACTGTAAAATGGTTATGTCCAGTGATTCAAGTGCTACCTCACTTTCAGAAGGAAGAGACCCTCCTGGGAAGTAGTCTCACTTCTTTAAAAATGTCCCTGGACTTGCAGCCAGGTGTCTGTCCTGGCCCAAGCCCTTCCTCCTTCTGTCCTGGTCTCTCACACCTTTGTTCCTCACAACAGGAGGCCTGTGAGCGCAGCCTGGCTGAGATGGAGTCATCCCACCAGCAAGTGATGGAGGAGCTGCAGAGGCACCACCAGCGGGAGCTGGAGCGGCTGCGGCAGGAGAAGGAGCGGCTCCTGGCAGAGGAGGCAGCGGCAACAGCAGCAGGTAGGAGCAAACACCAAGCTGTGCCCCTGCTTGGCTGGCTCCCTCCTGCCTCCCCCCAAATGTCTCTTGCCAGAAGCCAGTTGTCCCAGTCAACTGGAGCCACACTGTTCACTATACTGGTGTGAGGCTGGCACTCCTTGGAGCACGAGCTTTGGTGCTTCTTGCTCCTGTGGCGCTGGTGGAGATGGGGTGGTAAAGATACTGAAGGAAATGTGGTCATGCCTCTGGATGGGTGGGAGGAGACCAGCACATTATTGTAGGTGGGTAAGGCAGAAGTGGTAGAGAGCTCCCACAGTGCCCTGTGTTAGTCCCCTTGGCAGGATGATAATCCTGGAGTGTGGAGTCAGTGGGGGATACCCTGAGGGAAGAAGGGGAGGAGGGGGAATCTGTAGCGAGAGATCTGGGAAGCTGCAGTTGCAAGAGCTTAGTCAGTTCTCAGGTGTGTTTTCCATGAGGCTGGCACAGCCTGATCCCCCATTTTTCACTGTCCCCCTCTGCAGCCATTGAGGCACTGAAGAAAGCCCATCGGGAGGAAATGAATAAGGAGCTAGGCAGGACACGGAGCTTCCAGCAATGCAGCTCACTCCCAGAAGCCCTCCAGAAGCAGCACCAGTAAGAAAGCATCTCTCTCACTCCTCTTGTCTGATGATGCTGCCTTGTGCCGCTGTCACCACACTCCATCTGCAGCTCTAGCCCTGAGCTTATCCTCCTGCCACTTCCCCAGCTCCTTCCTCAAGGCTAGTGAGTGCCCAGTATGCTCCCAGGGCTGCTGCAGCTGTAGGGCAGTGAGGTTTCTCCTCTGCTTGGCTCTCTTCCCTATAGCACCTCCCTCATACCTATAGCTATTTCCTCTCTATTTTCTTCATGGAAAGCTCGTGCATTTCTTCTGCATGGCTTGGAGCTCCAAGAAGCACCACGCTCATGTGCAGGAGTGTGGGAACTGAAGCTCGGGTTCACAGGGAACATTGTCTTGTGCTAATGACTGATACGGCCAGAGGCTGGCCATGGCAAGGGGAAGGCAGTGCCAGGGGCCGGGAGCTGGCAAGGGTTTTGGGGCAGTGATGAGCTGGTGCCTCTTTGGCAGGTTGGACGTGGAGTCGCTGAAGCGGGAGCTGCAGGTGCTTTCTGAACAGTATTCCCAAAAGTGCCTGGAAATCGAGGAGCTCACCCAGAAGGCAGAAGAGCGGGAGCAGATATTGGAGCACTGTCAGCGGGAGGGGAAGGACCTCCTCCAGAAAAATCAGGCAAGAGAAGGGCTTTCCTGCCAGCAGAGAGGAGCATTGGAGCATGTTTCTCCTTCACACAGCACAACCCCTCCGTTAAAACTCTCCTATTTGTTCATATCTCTTCCCTTCTGAGATTCTATCATCAGAAAGAAAAAGGTTAAGAGTTAGAGGCTGTCTAACTGTGACATTAAATATGGCGAGTGTATTCTGCAGGATGTAGGTGCTGCCATTGCCTGTAGACAGGGGGTTATAACATGGTCTCTAAGCTGAACAGGGTCTGCCATGGAGATGGAATGGTCAGAACAGTAAGAAATCCTATGCCATGGCTACTCTGACGTCTTTTGTCTTTGCCTGCAGGAGCTGCAGACCCGCCTCTCGGATGAGATTGGGAAGCTGCGAAGCTTTATTTCATCACGGGGCTCTGGGGACCGCGCTTCGCACAACAACGAGCGGAGTTCCTGCGAGCTGGAGGTACGGGGTCCCCCTGGCTGCCCCGTGGCCTCCATCCCCGCCTGTCCCAGGGGTCTTCTTTTCTTGATGGCTTTGGCTTGGAGCAAGTGGGAGGGGGTGACAATGGAGTGGTTCAGGAAGCAGACCGCAAGGCTCCCTCCTCTGCTCTCTCAGGCTGCTTGCGCCGTTTCCTGCCCCAGCCCTTCTGTCCCTTCCTTCCTTTTCCACCGCTGCACTTGCGCCAGGGCCTGCCGGCCTTTCCGAGGCGGTGGCTCCTGAGTCACCTCTGGTTCCTCTCCCCCTTCTCTGGCCCAGGTGCTGCTCCGGGTGAAGGAGAATGAGCTCCAGTACGTAAAGAAGGAGGTGCAGTGCCTCCGGGAGGAGCTGCAGATGATGCAAAAGGTTGGTGTTTTCTGAGAGCAATTGGGAAAGAGCAGGAGAGGGAAGGCAGGGAAGCAGCAGGGCTGCATATCAGCAGGGTATGGGTGAGTTTGATGGGATGCTTGAGACAAACCCTCTTGTTACCTGTGCTGCTCGTCCTTGCTGACTGCAGAGCACAGAGCAGCTCCAGCAGCACAGACTGGCATAGGCTGACCTTGTACAAAGGAGGAGTCACAGAGCTTCTGATTTCCCCAGATGTATGCACACATAAGCATGGACAAGACTGCAGGCTACCTTCTGCAAGTGGGAAACCTAGATGAAGGCTGCCTGGCATTCTGCTTCCCCTAGTTGTCTCCTCTCTGAGTGGATGAGTTTCCTTGGGCACCGTTTCCGGGTGTGCTGCTCCCTCCACTGGCAGCAGCTCCTTCAGAGGAATTTTCAAAGGCCACTGCCAACCTGAAAGAGGCTTTGGAGTTCAGTGGTGCTCCAGGAGTTTATAACTTACATAACTTTTTGGCCATATAAGCAGCTGCACCCAGCTCTCTCAGTGGCCTGCATTCCTGGTGGGATTATTATTTCCCATATGTCTGCCCCGCATCCACGCAAGCCGTGTTAAAGCCCACATCACCTCCTCAACCTGATGCTGCACATCCCTGCTGCTGTGGAACCAGTGTCGCTGCATTCTTCTCAGGCCTGGTGTTTGCAAAGTGACACCTCCATGCTCCTCTTCTGAGTGGTTTCTGCCTGGCCCAGATTGGGATGGGCTTTAAACTCAAGGCTAGCTCTCCCCTCCTCACCTGCTGGCTCTTCTGCTGGGCTCACCTTGCTGCCACCCTCCCTAAAATCAGCCCTGCAAGCTGCCTGACCCCTCTCCCTCCCCTGGCAGGACAAGAGATTTGCCTCAGGGAAATACCAAGATGTCTATGCAGAGCTGAATCACATTAAGGTGCGCTCGGAGCGAGAGATCGAGCAGCTGAAGGAGCACCTGCGCCTGGCCATGGCGGCTCTGCAGGAGAAGGAGTCGCTGTGCAACAGCAAGTAATGGTGAGCCTGGGGATGCTGGGACGTCCTCTGCAGGTGCAGGTGACTGAGACTGGCTGCTGCAGGGGTGTGGAAGCTGCCAGTTTCTCCTGCTCCAATCAGTTTTGAAACTTTGGGCTTAACTCATCCTTCTTTGCTTATGGCATCCTCTTGGCACTGCTGGTCCTCCTGTTGTGCCTGATGTTCTCCCGAGGGCTCCAGCCCCCTTTTCATGGTGCTCTTGATGCAGCCAGCACCGATCACTCCTGAACGAGGCTGCCTGTGGTAGCCAAATATTGGCCTTTGCCCCATGGCTTGGGTGTTACTGTGGGTAGTTACACATTCCGTGTGTTTGTTTCTGCTGCCTTCACCTTTGAAGTGGTTTCCCTATCGCAGCAAGATAATTTTAGATCTACATCAAAACAGACCCAACTACACCCAGCCCTTCCCCCACGCTCACTTGCAGGCATCTCTGCCACAGATGGGGGGGAGCAAGGTGGCAGGAATGAGGGCATCCTGGTGTCCAGAGTGCTTCTGCTTCTTGTATTGGGCTTGCTTGCTTGTATTGGGCTCACCACCCTGCTCCACCAGTGCTTGCTGATGGGTGTTGAGATGAGTGGGTCTGTAGCAGGGCACCAGACAGCCACCTCCCAGGGAGCTGAAGGGATGGCATTTCTGTGCTCACTGGAATCTTTCTAAACCATGTCCGGTTTTCTCTCTCTCTAGGTCTGCTCTACATTTGTTATCTGTTCTTGTTTTGTATTTGCTCCATTCCTCACTTGTGGGGAGAGGGAGGTTGAATCCCTATCCATTGACACCTTGGTGAGGAATCCCACATCCCCCCCCAACCTCCTCACGCCCCTTCCAAAGCTTTTTTGATGAACCCTTTTTGCCTGCATACCTGAGCACGTTGTTTGGACTGGCTCCTTACATGCACCTTCCTCAGGATTTTATATGTGAAAATTATATTTTATAGAGGAATTTTTTTCCCTGTGGAAAGGAGGGGAAGAGGAGGAGGAAAACTTTTACTACATCACCCGCATTTTTCTAACCTGAAAAAGAGAACCCAGTTTTTCTCCCTTTCCTAGCTCCGTTTCTCCTGGCCACACACAGCCACCTTTGGCACATGTTCCCTCTCTTCCAAATGTCTCCACGGTCCCCCTGGGATGTACGGCAAGGACCATGCTCCCCCTCCCCGTGCTGCCCCCAGGGACCTGCGGAGAAGACACACAAGCCATAGGAGGGAGCCGCTGGAGCTATCTGCCATGATGTGCTTGCCTGAGACGGTTGAAAGAGGACACCTTGGCAAGAGTCCACATGATCGAGCTCTCTCTCCGTGACTGCCCTTTTGGCTCCTGCAAGAACCTGCATTGGCAGGAGCCCAGAGCCACAGGGCTTCACCTTTCTGGGGAAGAGGAGCTGTGAGGCTGCTACTGCACCCGCCCGAGCCAACCTCCCCAAGGTGACTGCTGCTGCTGCTCCGCTGTGCCCTTCAACTTTAACTTAATAAAATCTTCCCCTTTCGCTGAGGAAAATGTGTTCCTTGAGCCATGTGGCCCTAATCCAGTGGTGAAGGGGTGAGGGTGTGTGGGGTGTGTGTGTGAGATTTTTTTAGGTTTTGGTATATACTGACCAGATGCTTCCTTTCTTCAGGATTTGGTGAGGGAAAGCAACAGGAGCACCCCTGACCAGAGAGTGAAAGGAGCCTTGCAGTAGCCCAGCAAGTTTGCCTCACCTTCATGTTTGAGGGGAAAAATAATCTGCTTCACTGCACTGCTCCCAAAATTCCATGTGGACCCTGAGCCTCACAGAATAAGAGCTGAGCCTGGGCTGCATTAGTAAATCCAGTATTGGAAGGGTACATGGCACTGCAAATTGCTGGCAGAGTAAACAGTATATAGAGATCCTAGGGAAATGACAGTGATCATAAATGCTTTCCTCCTCCTGTTTTTTGTGTGAAGCATGTTGCTTTTATGTCAGGATGGAGGACCTGGTGGTGACTACTACTCATTCAGCCCCATCCTGATATAAATAGGAGCTGTTGTTTTACAGAGAAGAGATCTGATTGTGGTCACATGCTAGGGCTGGAGGCAGCATCTGAAGAAGGAAAGACAAAGGGGTCAAGGAGGATTTTTGGATGGAAGTGACAGATGTGTTGGCTGAGAGACTGGAGTACTGGAGACTTGGGGAGGGGGTGTAAGAATACAGTGGCAGCTGAAATGAGGGGTATTAGGGAGGCACTCTTTTGATCTTTTGCCATGGTATTGGCATTCTCTAGGGCAAGAGGGTGCAGGTCTGCCCTTCCCTTGCGAAGGGCTGCAGGGACTACTTTCCCTAGGAAAGGCAGATCACTTTGTTAGTCACAAATTCTGGTAAAATTGGGTTGCAGATTTTAGTCACATGCACAAGGCCCTTGGGCAGCCCAGTGGATGGTGCAAGAGTCCAAGCAATGAGCTCAGCTCCCTACTATGCCTGTCAAGCACCAGGGCTTGCTGTTAATGCTTTTTGGCGTTCTGCCTCTGGTCTAGAAACCCTTCTTTCCCTGTGCTGCCCAAGGTCCAGGCTTTTCCCTCTGCCTCCCAGCAGGACGTGACTGTTGCCATTGAGTTTAGAAAGGGGCAAGCATTTGGCATGTGGGGATTTGCCCATGGGCTGGCAAGAGGTGAAAGAACAGTTCAGGGCAGGTGTTTTCAGGCTGTAGAACTTGGAATTGCCATGGGAATTTAGAGGAGCCAAAAGAGGAGGAGAAAAAAGGGTTCAGGACAGAGTGTTGCGGACCATGTGTGTTTTTTTAGAAAAAACAACCACTCAAACAGCAGTCTGTGTAGTTGTACCTACTCCCAAAGGGGGGAACTCCTAAAGTGGGGCACTGGGGGCAAGCGGAGGGTAAGCGAGGGATGAACTGCACACTGCTCTTTGCACAGTGCTCATCCATCCCTTCCCAGAAGAGTTTGGTATCTTGTGTTTGGGTTGGTTTGTTGGGTGGTGTGTTGTTTTTTTCTGCCTTTCAGACGAGGGCTGCTCAGCCCGATAAGTGTGTGGCGTAAGCACAGGCGAAATGTGTGTGCCCCTGACATGTGGTGGAGCTGCCCCTCCTTGAGGCTCTGTGGCTGCAGATCAGCCTCAGGCAGGGTAGAGTCATCCCCTCATCCAGGGGCCATGGGGGACGCGCCTCCAAAATTGGCACAGCGTTAATCAGGCAGAGCCTGTGTCGCCTGCCTCGAGGTGATATGGTCACCCCGTCGTCTCCACATCCTTATCTCCTGGGAGCAGGGAACCTGGGCAGGGGAAGAGTGGCCAGGAGAGGAGATGACCAAAATGCCCATGGGTGACAGGCATGATGGCTGGCAGAGTCCAAAAAAACATCCCAAAGCGATGGTTGTATCCCATCCACTTGCTTGCAGCTGGATTGTGGCTGTGAGAAACATCCCAGCCTCAAGCACTGGGAAAACCCACAGCTCTACAGCACCATGGTTGTATGGGAGCCAGCACCCCAGCTCACATAAGGAGCTCACTCTTAAAAAGCAGCCCATCAATCTTTTAAAACAGTGGTAATCAGTCCAGCAGTCAGGGGTACTCTGCCATTTATTTGTATCCTTCAAGCCTGCTCTGCCCCTAGCAATGGCCAGGTTGAGTGGCTTCCTGCTGGGCTGACCACACTGCATTGCACACTGGGGACTCAGAGCTGAAATTCTTAGGAGCACAGCTGGAACTTCAGCTAGTTTTTGTGTTTTGCTCTTAAAAAAGCACAGAAGCACTTGGATCCGAGTACCACCAAGACCAAGTCCCACTGCTGAGGATTTTGAGTCTCCCTGAAATGGAAACTGGGTAAAATGAAATGTTATCTCTGACATTAATTGCCAGAAGTACCCTGGTGCTCTCGAAGGCCTATGAGCAGCTGCCCTGCCCCTATAAGGCAGGGGCTATTACCCGATGGATCCGCAGTGGACACGATTTGACCTTTTAAGACAAAATCTGCAGCTGGAAATGTGCAAATCCCCATGGGGTCTGGTTGAACTCAGTGCAGACAGGGAGGAGAAGGTAAACAGGATTACAGAGAGGATTCTTCTGCCAGGCTGTGTCCGCTGGGGTTTGTTGGAGATGTGGGATTTCCCAATCTCTGCAGAATAATGCCAGAAAGGGAAGGCTCAGGAGGCTTGGAGTGGTTGGATAGCAATTCCTGAGGAGAAAAGTGGGTGCAGGGGGTAACCCACCCAATCCTGGGCATGGTGGCAAGTTCCTGTGACCAAAAATACAGGCATGAACCCAAGATGGCCATGGTGGCACATGTGCCTATGGGAAAAACTCTTCCTTCTGGATGTCCCCTGTGTTGCCTGCAGTGAGGTGCCAAAAGCACTGGACCCACTTCCCAGAGGCATCAGGGCTTGCACTGCTTGACAGCATCTGCCTTCTACCTCCAGGCCTGACATCCTGCCAAGGACTGGAAAACTCTCTCATCCTCTCGGTCCTGACCAGTTCATGTTACAGATGCATTGTCAAAACAGTGCAAGGCTCAATGGGTGCATTCCAGTATCAGCTGGGGTGTTTGGGGGTTTGCCATGACCAGGTTACCCCCCATGTGCAAAGCCAGCAGCAGCTTGATGAGCTGTGACCACCTGTGTGCCTTCCCTCCAGTGAGTTGCTTGGGGCCACGGGATCTTCCCCTTAGTTTCACTGACTAAAAATTAGGGATCTAGTCTTCATGAAAGGGCCAGAACCTCCACACACAGGGGAGAGCATGTTTGTTTGCCAGCAGCGGCACCCGCCGGAGGAGGATGAGCAGCCCGGATCAGCAGCGGGAGCTGCCCAGGTGAACGAGTGAGATTAGATCCCTAAGGTGGTTAAAGTTAGGTGAAGCATCTGTGTGTCCCTCCCTGCCGCCTCTCCCCCCGCCCCCGCCGCCTTTGCCTCCCCATCCCTGCGCTGGATTGATAACCACTGCCTGGGTGTTAGGGCTGGAGGCTCCACAGGCAGCCCGTGGTGCCAATTCCTAAACCCCTCCTAAACTTCCTCGTCTCCCCTCAGAGCCTGGCGCATGGGCGAGCCACGCGCGACGGTTACAAACTTGGGTGCAAATAAAAACAGATGGTGCCTTATCTGCCCGCCTGGCTTTGCCTACGTGCCGGCAGCCAGCACCGGCCGTTTATTCCCAGATAGGAAAAATGAGAGATCCCCCAGCCGGTCAAAGCCTTGCACAGAGGCCACCAGAGCTCCATATGGGATGGAAAGCCATTTATTTATTAGGTCTTAAACTAAAGCAAACCCCAAGGGAGGCAGGAGGGTGGTTATTCCTCTCCACAATTAGAAACAATTTGCTCCTAATTAAACCAAAAGTGCTGAGAGCCTTTCCCACTCCCCAAATGGAATAGAGCATGTGAAGAAAGTCCATCAGGGAGGAAGGCTCAAGGAGATGGACTTGGTCCTTCCATCTGTGGGAAAGCATCAGGGGTCTGAGTGTCTTATTCCAGGCCAGGTCTTCACATCAAAGATTCCTATTTCTATTTAAATGTAGTGATGGGGCAAGGGGGAATGGCTCTAAACTGAAAGAGGGCAAGTTTAGATTAGATATTAGGAAGAAATTCTTTATTGTGAGTGTGATGAGGCACTGAAACAGGTTGCCCAGAGAAGTTGTGGATGCCTGACAGTGTTTAAAGCCAGGCTTAATGGGGCTCTGAGCACGTTGGTCTAGTGGAAGGTGTCTTTGCCCATGGCAGGGAAATTGGAACTGGATGATCTTTAAGGTCCCTTCCAGCCCAAACAACCCTATGATTCTGTGATTCTATTATCTCAATTTCTACTATTGCTATTATTTCAATTTCTGTATTTATATTTGTATTTATGTATCTATATTGATATTTTATTGATGTATACTTCTGTGTGTCCCTGGCTGGTGGTTTTCATGGCCCTGGACACCCAGGGAACTCAGAAGTTATTGAGAGGTGCTTCACTGTGTATTTTAATGGTAAACTGAAGCACTGGGAGGTTTGGTTCACCTCTGAGCCCCACATGGCATGTTGGCGGGCACCAGGTGGCTGCGCCCATGTGTTTTTAAAAAATAAGGGGAAAACATCATCTAAATCCTACAGGCAAGATGATGATAGTGGCTATATTTAATCTCCCAGGAACAGCCGACCGCTCACCCAGCAGGGAAAGGATGGCTGATTGCCACTATGTCCCTACTCTGTCCGCATGCTGAGAGTTGTGTGTGTCTCCCAAAACAAGGGGGTAGCCTGTTCTTTGTGACCCCTCATCATCCATATGCAAGGGCTGAGATGGTGTTCCTAAAGCACCTGGTGGAGAGCAAAGGGGCAGAAGAGGGAATAGTGGCACTTGGCCATGGGGTATTGCTGCTGGGCTGACTTGTGCCCAGTGCTTCCCGTTTTCTCCTTGGTGCCGTGCCCAGTGTCATCTCTAGTGTTCCTTCTTACCCCCTTAATATTTTCCAGAGTGTCTTTCCTTGTCCCCTGATATTCCTCCAGCATGTTTGCTTGTGTTGCCCCTAAATGTCCCTCCCTAACCCTGTGTCTTC